TAATGATAGAAAAGAAAGAGATAGCGAAAGTAATGGAATGCGTAAACAGCGCGTACGCCGCGACCAAAACAATCCCCAAACGCTATGTGTAAGTCTGGTTTTCTCTGACAATTAACACAATACGAAATATTTTTTATGTATTAAAAAAAAATATATTTTAATGTGTGTGTGTGTGTGTGTAAAAGATAAAGCGTACGCAACAGGTAACGATTGGGAGGGAGAGGAAGGTGGAAAATTGTAAGGAGTAATAAGAATTGAAGTAGGGGGGATAACGCGCCGATACGCGAAACGGTCTGTCTCGTTCAAGTGCCGCCGTGCAAATAGTAAAATCCAGCTCAAGCTCAAGGATAAGATCAAATTGGGAAAAGTACTATTTGGAAGAAGTAGGGAAAGGAATGTATACATGCCGATCAGTGTGTGCAAGAGAGAAAGTGTGAGAGTGAGGAAGAGAGGATATAAAATACGTAGGTCACAGAGCGAACGTAAACAACCCCCCCCCCATGCCGTGAATCAGCGTCGAAATTCCTAATATAATATACCATATTTTCCACATTATAAGATATTCTTTGGCGTTCAGAATTTTAATTTTGATAAATAATTTACTATTTTATTTTTCGCCTACTATCGTATTTTGTATCGTATCGTATTTTTAAAATTTTTATCTGTAGATTTGTCAGCGTGATCCAATATAAAAATTAATTTTACTTGATTAAAATTCCGCGTTTTAAAGCTTTTTGAGCGTTTTTCTATTTCGTATTATAACACAAATAAATAAATATAAGAATAAAAATTAAATTAATAAATGCCCACGCAATGAAAATGTCACGAAACACGTCGCTTTGCGTGAACACGGCTGCCCGTGCAATAAATTTCGATGAAATAAATCTTTCGAAATGCGCGATTTAATCGATGTACAATGTGAAATTTATGTTACACAATTCTTATTTATTGAGATATAATTTGTATTTTCCATTTTCTATTACCAATTTTAAGTAACTCAATTGCGCAAAATTTCTTCTTTTATAATAGATAGATACTCGAAGCTTGAATGTTTATTTATTTGTGAATGTTGATTTATATTTAATTAAAATTGAATTAAGATAATAAAGGATAAAAATTACAAAAAATTAATTTTTATAGTTATAAATTTGTATATAAATGATTCATTATTATTCATTCCATTAATTATTATTTCGTTATTCGTTATTATTTATTTTATTAATTATTATAATAACAGTTTTTTGAAGACAAGTTTAATAATATATCTTATATTATACCAACGTGTCATAATTAAAAAAAAAATTATAAACGTTATGTTTTATTTAGATTAAAAATTAAATAAAATTTGTTAACAAAAAATAAAAGTAAAGTGTTTCAATCTAGTAAAAAGGTATGCTATATGGTACTCGTTCATTAAAAAAAATTATTATTTTCTGAAAAATCAATAAAAAAATAAAGTTCCGACGCTTGCGTTTTAAATCTGGTGGTGTGCACAATAGGCAGAACGTTGTTCGTTTTAGTTGCATTTCTAGCTTATTTATTTTTCTTAAATATAACAAATGTAAATAATAATAATATTGATGATGTTATTGTTACTCTTTGATTTTTTAAATGTTTCTTTATTTTTCTTTAATGTATGTATCACCAGAGAGAAACCTGAGAGGAGCCACGCTGTCGTTTTTCATAATGCCCTAACTAGACCGGAGGATGATCCTACTTGTGGCTCTTTCGAGTGCATAGTTTGACAGACCGACCGAATCGATTTAATTGGATAAAAAAATTATTTGATATGGTTAATACGATTGGAAGTCAACTTTCATATAATTTTAACCTGTCAAACTATGCACTCAGATAAACCACAATTAGGATCATCCTCCGGTCTAGTTCGGGCATAAGACGCTTTTTCTAGGCTGTACACTAGCGGCGCGTACATCCATTTTACAGCCTGCTTGGAACTACATGGAAATACGTCTCGCATATAGATATAATTTATATAGATACAATTTATAACATATAGATATAATTTATATCTATATGCGAGACGTATTTCTGTTCAATAAATTGTGGATGTAACACGGACATGAACCAGCCAGGGCTCTTTTACCATCCCGGAAAATGGATGTGACCATGTAGTTCCAGGCAGTAAAATGGATGTACGAGTCGCTAGTGTACGGCCTAGAAAAAGCGTCTTACGAAAAACGGCAGCGTGGCCTCTCTCAGGTTTCTCTCTGATATTACTTTCTCTTAAGCCTGTATCCGATTATGCAATTTGTTGCAACAATTATCGCGATAAATTGTCGTAACTTTTTTATTATCATACTATTTGCAATTTTTTGCTGCAACTAATAAGTTGAGGCAATTAAGTCGCTGTAATAAGTTACATGAAAATAATCTGATACTGGCTTTACATTTTTCTTCTTTAGGGATTTTTGTAATATAAAGATATTTTTGAGCAGACATGATATTTCTAGTTTTCTCTCTGAACGTCATTTAATGAACTGTTTGAGAGTAAAACTGAGTAAAACCAAGTAAAACGGTTGGATAAAAACATGGATCGAGTGGATAACAATAATGAGGTAATAATTGATTTACAAAAATATTTGATAAATTTTATTTAACATAGAAAACAAAATAGTTCTATTGTTAATATGAATTCATTATTAATAGTCATTAAAGCTGATAATTTTATGGAATAAAGTACTAATTAATAATTATAATTATAGACAGCATCACTTTTACACAATGGTTCCACTTCTATTGCAACTGGAGCCACAAAATGTAACAATGAAAACACATTTATCGAGAAAGCTTTGTTACTTCGGTACTTGCAAAGGGGCATTTCAGAGACAACAGAGGAAAATATCGCATTTACAAAGGAAATGACAGGTTTATTATCCAAATTAAATTTTGATGTTAAGGCGTTGCCTAATGATATAAAAGAAGGTTTAGAAAAGTTGTCTTTAATCTTAAAATCTGAGAAGCTATCAGAATTTGATGAAACAGCATTGTGTGTGGCTAGAGAACGAAAGATTATAGAAGAGAAAAGACAACAACGAGAAGAGAAGAAGATGTCGCTGATACATGATAAGTTATTTAGAAGTTGCACAAAATTACAGACAAGGCTGGACCATTTACAAGATGCAGTTAATTCCATCAACAATACACTTGATATTATAGAGAAGGATAAAGATAATTTATATTGTAATAAAGTTTTTCTGTCTACGAAAATGAAAGAATATCAACAAGCTGTGGATAAATTAGAGACAGACTTAGATGATATGCAGATTAATGAACTTTATCCTGAACATATATTAAACAAGTATAAACTGTATTTAGAAAATATAAGCAAATTGGGAGATTTGAACCAACCACTCTCTCAATATAACGATTTACCACCTAATTTACTACAGGCAAAATTATTACTGGAAAGCAAGAGGAAAGAATATGAAAACTTAGAACAAGAATTTTTAGAAAAGACTCAATAAGTTTTAAATTTTAATCATATTTTAAACACATAGTATTTTGTATATTTACAATATATTTCTATTCTTATAAACAATAAGTTTTTATATTTTTAATTTATATGAAAAATAAAAGATTAAATATGCATATATGAAAATATTTTGTAAAATTTTTTTTAGAAACCATACTTCGATTTTGTCTGTTTTCTTGTCATTTTATTTTGAGACCATTGGTTTTTGAGTTCTAACTCCATGGCTTTGGCTTGGTGCGCTAAATAAGTTATTTGATGCTTCTTTTTGGATTGGGAATTGATTCCACAGCTTTGCATAGATATCGGTCTTTGTACAGGCTCTTCTGTTAGTGCTTTTACCAGCCATTCCCTTTCATCTGGTTTTATATCTTCTCCATTTATTTCAATTATATTTGCTTCATCAATTTCTGTGTCTTTGCGTTTTATACCTCGTTTTCCACAAAGATACTCAATTGCTTTTTCATCAAATGCTACATTTCCTTCCATATCAACGTTGTATTCTTGCTCAGGAACAGGTAATTTTGGTCCTACCTCTGCTTTGTTTTTCTGTAATATTTCTTCTTTAGGTAAATTTATAACATTGCTTATTAATGTTTTGCTTGAATTGCCCAATTGATCATTGAACATATCAGAAGTAACGGTGGAGGAATCTTGTATTGTATGATCCTCTATGCGCTTTCTGAGCGAAGTTTCTTCATGCGATTTATGTGTAAAATCATATGAAAGTGATTCTGTATTTGATAATTTTGATGCAGAGCTGTCTGGCGTATCTTTGTTTGTAGTTAATCCAAAGAAATCTTCTGGCACATCTTCTTCATCAGAACTCATCTCATTGTATGGTTTATCTAAAAGTGGCTGTGTTACTTTAGAATCATTAATCTTACTTGAATTAGATTTTCTTATTGTTTTTAGCTGCTGAATATTTGCTTTTGTGTTCTTAACACTTTGAGGTATTAGAATTTTGCTATTTGCCATCTCTTTGTTTGGTGGAACTAAAAGGGAAAAGAGTCCACAGCCTTTCTGAAATTATGAATAATTCAAAAATTACATCCAATCAGTTAATTTACTTACATACATTTTCTTAAACTTACTTGCGATGGTTGTATAATCTTAGCTGGTTTCTTCTCATCTTCCTCTTCCTCAAGATCTTTAAACTGTTAAAATATGTCAAATAATTTAGATATACAGTGTAGTAGAGAAATATATAGATTCTTAAAAAAAAAAAACATATATATACATACTTCTGATAAAGAAGGCACTGATATTTTTACTGTCTGCTTTTTTACTGGCTTTACAGTTCGAGTTTCCGTTTTTTTCTTCAACAAGACATCATTATTATCCTCTTCAAGGTTTTCTGTAGAATTTAAACTTTCGGGTTTTGGTAACATATCGAAAAAATTTTCGAAGGTTTCGAAGGTTTTTGCATTGCTGCCTTCTTCTTCCTCGTCCTTCTTACTTAGTGTAATTACTTTTGGAGAAGGTAAAGATAATTTAGAATTCGTTTGTACGATTATTGTTTCTATCGTGTCATCATTCCTCTCGTTTGCGACAATTGTTTCTTTTTCAGTTTCATTTTCCTCGTTCTCAGATCCCTCGTCGCTGCTGTCATACGCTACGAGACTCATTTTTAATTGGAAATTTTCACTTGCTTATGTATGTCAAGCACTTTACGTTATGTATACTCTTGTACAAGAAAACCTAACCACAAGAATATTCTCAAAAATATTATTACCCCAGCCTACGAATTAAACGCCCTCTCTGCAAAGAAAAAGAAACTGTAAGCCGAAATGTTCAACGGATAAAATACCGAGGATTTTGTATTTGGAATATATGTTGTAAGTTTGTCGCTAGATGGTGGTAAAATGAATATTTAATAATGCATTAAACGAATCATTATATTCCTTCATAATCATTAATATAATTTCAACAAAGACAGCGCAGAAGAATGTGCATTTGTAAGTATACAAAACAGTTTTATAAAAAAAAAAAATGGATTTTAAATGATAATTTCGAAATGCTTACGAAATGAAATAAGATTGTATTATATATTTAAAAGAAATAGCATACATTTTTGAACGTAATCAATTATAATATTAATAGCATCTTTTTATGCTGCATTATATTTTGACTTTACCAAACACAATGGATTAATCTGCTCGAGAAAATTTTTAATCTGTGCAAAAGCGAATTTTATTGTTATTACGTCAATATAAAATATAAAGTATTTGCAGAAGACACAATAATAATCTCGTGCAAAGCATTTGCCGATTCGGATAGTTTATTGTCTGCTTTAATTAATTATTTCTTTTTAATTGCACACCGTATCGTATTTATATGATGAATTATTGTTTCTATAGCCTCTCTGTACCATTTCCATAATAAGAATATTTTTGTGCCTCTTTATTTTCATCTCGAGTACACCGTTTTATAATTTTCTAAGATTATTCCTATACTTATATTTATTTGTCATCTAATAAAATGCAATAATCCCGAATAAATATTCCGCACCGCGGTTTTTAGCGGTATTCGTATATGCAGTCTTTGCCGTCGAGAGCAGACCGACCCTGATTCGCCCGTCTGAAAACCTTGCTCTTTTACGCAATTTTAGCGTTTATTAAAGTTTGCTCGCAAATGAAACGAAACCCATATAACCTACCTAATTTAGCGAGTAGCATTTTCGAGTGGGGGCCACTTCAGGAGAGGAGGAGAGGCCGGGTTCTATTGACAGCGGTTATTGCCTAACTGCGTACCTCCACCTAATATGCCGGCTTGGGGATTCGTAGCCAGGACTGCTCGAACGAAAACTGCGAAACACATCCGCGAATCTTTAATTCCACCCTCGTAATCTGCCGACTCTACAGTCACCTTACCCAGATTTTTGTTTGACTGTCTGACGAGGGATAATGCTATATTTTTTTTTTATTTCTACTAGATTCTCTCTCTTATTCACACTTCTGTCAAATTAAATTTATGAAGTCGTAATTATTAGATTGTGTTGACTATTTTTTTTCACAAAATATTCGACTTTATTAATTCATTTTCTTACGAGAGTTTGATTTAGCACATTCGTATACGTTTTGATTACGTATACACGTTCTAGAGAATTTATAACTACTTAATGTAAGAATGATATATGTAGAATAGATTATATTTAATATCTATGTATAATAATGAATGTATATATATTGAATAATCATTTAATGCGGCGAATCATCGCAGGCCGCATCGCGATTTATGATTGCGACCGAAACCTCTCACGGCGCGACTGGGTTTATCCTTTTTTCATTGCTTCGATACCTTGATGTACGTATATGCTCGCGAACGGATGCGGGCAAATAACGGCCCTGCCTGCATTTGAAACTCTATTAACTCTCCGAATATTAGCTCGTCGAGCGAGATTAACCTCATTGTGCCCCGTTGAAAATGATGACATCACTATTAAACTCCCGTCGGCTTACGGAAATTGATTAAACTATCAAATTAGCTCTACTAATATCAACACATCAACGCCGCGAGACCGGGCCTCTGGCTTCGAGATTCAATCCTAAATGACATGAATTTGCCGGCCCGTACGATCGTTCGACGTGCATTCATAGGTATTCCCTAAGAGGTGTACAGTCGCGACTGCACCGGAGCGTAATATAGTAACTGTCAGTAGTATACGTTTTAATTTTCGCCGGCGCGGTTTAGCTGACGTACATTAACTCTGGCCGTTTTCGCGTACAGCTCTTTTCTATTTATAAATCAGTTCTGTATATATCCGTATTATATTTTATCTAAAGTAGCTTGACAATATTAAATCGTCGCAAGATTCGTACGAATTAAACATTTTTACGCGAATTAATGCGTCGTGATTCGGTCAGAAGATGCAGCGCAACAAGATATTACTAATATTACAGCCGATTAGGCGTCCAAATATATGCGCGCTATTGCTTTCGAATGTACAATCTTAATTAGTTTCGCAAACACAAAATTATCCGAAATCCGTATATCTGTACTTCTTTCAACTACTCAATGTTCTGTGGCTAAAAAAATGCGCCAGTGGTTGCATTCAGATAATATCTGGAACGATGTCGGAAGAATTCAAATAGTAACACTAGTCCACCTTTGCAGCCACCCTTTTCCACCCGGCATTCAGGAACTACGGAGCGTTAGATGTATTGTTAAGGGAAGTGTGAACAATTTGGTGCATTGTCGAGACTATAATATGGATGGCTGGCAGGATAATTATTGGAGGCCGTTTGAATCTAACTGTTTCCTTCATTAGCAGTCTCAGTTCGCCCGTTTACCTCTTCTCTCTCTGTCTCCCTTGCTCTCTCTCTCTCTCCCTCTCTCTCTCCCTCTCTCTGCGACACTTGGTCGTCCTTCCAGCTCCTCTCGTTGTCTCTCTCTTTCTCCCTATCTGAATTTTGTGCAGAATTACCCGCCATTATCATAATTGCGCTATTACCGATAATATCTACGACTCCGCTTCGAAACTGTACCTCGATGCTCTTAATCCATTTTCTATTTGGACAGCGGGGGCTTACGGTGGACGAGAAGTCGCAAATTCCGTTGCGTAATTTCCGCTCCATTGAATCGTCCCCCCTCCCTCTTGACGCGAGATTATATATTTTACAGCAACAGACTGGATAGCGCAAAAACGAAACGACGCGCGTCGGATTTCTAGCCGCGCCAGCGAAACGCCGTGACTGCAATTACCTTTATTCCGCGCGAAGCTCCTTCGTTTCTCGTTTCTCCTTTTAATCGCATCTTCCGTACAGCGGTGTTAAACTATTAATTGATAGACTACGGAACACGTGAATTCAACGGCGCTTATTGCGTACGACATTGTGAATTCAAATCAAGATCTTATATTATTAAAAAGTTACTTATAAAGTTTTAAACAATAGTGAATGTAGTATGTGCGTGTGTAAAATATAAGTAACATATTGAAGAAGCGAATGCAAAATAAGGAATGTACAATAAATATTCAATTATATATCCTTATCATTTCTTTTGAGATATCGTGCGTTGAATCACAACCACGATGTCAAGATTTAGAGTATTCGACTTTCACGTGTATGTTCTTCTACCGCAATTAGGCTAACAATAAGCGGTAGGTGGTATCCTGAACATGACAGTTTTCCGGACACATAAAAGAATGAAAAGTAATCTCAACGCCGCATATACATATTATTTGTCACGTTTAGGCAATAGTTACGGCATTGTTACAAACACGATTGGGATATTCTGAAGTACATCTTATGTACTTCATTCTTCTACTCAGTGTTGAGTCAGTTTATATATCTTTTTGAAGTTAAATGTAAAGTTCACCAATTAAGATCTTTCAGATCGGTACAAGTAATAAGTGGTATATTAATAAATTTACTTCAATTTTAGAAAAGTGCATAAAGATACATAGATTCCATATTTTTAATTATTGTTTAATTATCCTTTTATCGATCAATTAGCAATTAGACGAAAATAATATTTCGTCGTATGCGGACAAAAATTGTACTCCACATACTTTACTCGTTTTACGTATCTTGTTTGCCTGCTAATAATTTTTTGCGTGCATAATTGTTTTAATTACTGCTAGGTAATAAAGATGAACTGTTAAGCAATCATCAAGCGCCGTCCGGCACGAACTCGTTCAAGACGAAACCATCGCCGGATTCTCCTCAGCAGCTGACAAAAAAAAAAAAGAAAAGAAAAGAAAAAGAAAGACAGATATCGCGATGACAACTTATCTCGTTAAATCTCGTTCTTCGATGGGAGAACGAAGGTAACGAAGGAGTAAGAAACAGGCTGCAGTCGTGGAGGGAGAGGGACAAGGGAGGAGAGATGACTGAGGGCGGTAGGTGGGGATGTGGCATAATTACGAATATTAATTGCGTTTCCAACGAGCTGCTGGAACCGGAGCTGCTGAGTGCAGATGTCAACCTATTATCATCCCCTGCCTTACAATGGGTGAGATCTCGCTTTCTCTGTGTCGCTTTATCCCCCTTCCCTCCATTCTCCACCCACGCCGTCGTGCCCCACTATCCTCGTATAACTTCGTATAATGT